TCCTGGAGATTTTTCCTTATCTTTCATTTGGGGTTCTTTGTTGCCCCGTTTTAGCTGTCTCTGCTTTTGCTTCTGTGTGTAAGATAGAACTACTATGACTCCCAGTCTTTATGGGGTGACCTTATGTAGTTAGTGTTCTGTGGGACATAGTGGTAAAATCTCCTTGAACTCCTGAGCTGAATGCTCTAGTTATGTCCATTTTGTGGGTTATGTGAACCCTCTTGTTGTAATAGGGAGCTGATTTTTGTTGGCCCATTCGTGGGTGGGATCGACATTCATCCCACAGAAATGAGCTTAGCAGGATGGGGACAGCTGGAAATGGAAGTGCAAATCCAATGCTCCCTTTGATTTGGGGTGACACAGGCCCTCAGACCCCAAATGGGGAACTAGCTACTTGCCTTCTAGCTTAGAAGTGTCCTTGTCAGAGACCCTGAGGGGTGCCTCCGAGGGGTCACACCAGATGACCCAACTTTGAGTTATGTCCCCTTTCCCCTGTGAGGTTGCACCAGCAGGCATGTGCCAGCCAGGCTTAGAGAAAGAGAACAAGGAAGCCCTCTCCACTTGAGGTGTTGCCTACCCTTGGAAGGGAGAGAGCTGCTCACCTCTTTCTATCTCTGCAGTGCTCTGCCAGAGACCCTGTTGGAGTACTCCAAGTGAGTCAGGTCCAATGTCTAAGCTCTGCTTTGTACCCCCTTCCCTCAGTAGATATGAGATTAGCAGGGTGGGACCAGTAGAATCTGGGCATGCTAGTCTAATCCACACTTTGATTGAGGTGGCCCTAGTCCTTAGCCCTCAAGAGGATAGGTAGGTGCTCTCCTTTAAGCTCCATGCCAGAGCTCTGGAAGGGAGGCTCCAAGGGGGACACACCAGATTTCACAGTTTTGATTTGTGACCCTTTTACCTTGGGAAACTACACCTGCAGGACAGTGCAGGTGGGACTCAAGGCTGCCCCCTCCACTTGGGGTACCACCAGCTCTTTTGGGGGATGGGAGAGAGCTTGTCACTCCCCTCTATCCCTGCAGCTCACTGCCAGAGGTCCAGATGTAGACTTCCAAGGGGGTGGCTTCATATGCCCCAGTTCTGACCTGCAATTCCTCCCCACTTTGAGTCTGCGCTTGGCTGGTGGTGTGGCAGGTTTTGGGAATGCAAATCCAAAAAGCCCCTTGTTGGGGGTGGTGCAGGTCCTCAGCCCTCAAGAAGGGAGCTAAGCACTTGCCCTACAGCTCAGCAGTACCCAACTAAAGCTCTTGAAGGGAGGCTCCTACATGGTCACACAAGATTTCACAGTTCTGATTTATGACCCCTTTTCCTTGTGAGTCTGCCCCTGTCAGAAGGTGAGGTGGGGCTTGGGTTAATAGATCAAGGCTGTCCCCTCCACTTAGGGTGGCACCAGTTCTTTTGGGAGGCGGGAGAGAGCTTGCGACCCCACCTCTATCCCTGCAACTCACTCCCAGAGGCCCTGGTGAAGGCTTCTGAGGGGGAGGGGGAAGGGTTCTAAAGTCTAAAGTCCCAGTTCTACTTTGGGAGTACAAATCCAGGCAGCCTTTTGTTGGAGGTGATGCAACTCAGTGACACCCCACCAGAACTCTTGAAGAGAGGTTCCTCCAGGTCACACCAGATTTCACAGTTCTGATTTGTGACTCCTTTTCCCTGTGAGTCTGCTCCTGTAGGATGGTGCAGGTTGAGCTTAGAATGATAGATCTGTGGTAGGCAGTTAGATAGACATGAGCAGAGCAAGGACAACGGGCCAGTTACAGAAGGTCACCAGGGTGGAACATCCTGGACACCCAAGCTCCATGACTTCTGCCAACTGAACACCTAAGTTCTAGACACTCTTAATATTATTATGTCAATTGCCTGTTCATGCTCATTGCCTATGTTTGTACTGGAATCATTATCTTTTCTCATTGATTTGTAAGGGCTACTTTTACATGAGTGATTATTATTAAGTCCTCTTCATTTATTCCAAAAACATTTTATTTACCCATTCATCAATTGATACACCTTCGGGTTGTTTCCACTCTTTGGCTTTTATGAATAATACTGCAATGAAATTAGTGTACAAATTGTTGTGGGGGCATTATGTTTTCTATTCTCTTGGTTATATATCTGGATGTAGAATTGCTTGCTCATGCGTTGAAATTTTTGAGGAATTGCCAGCCTGTTTTCTGTAGCAGCTGGACAGTTTTACATTCGCATCAACAATATCTGAGGGTTCCAATTCCTTCACATCCTAACCGACACTTATTTATCTTTTTCTGGATTATAGAGATCCTAATGTGTGTAAATCAGTATCTCATTGTGGGTTTGACTAATGATGTTGAGCATCTTATTAGCCATCTGTGTATCTCTGGAGTTGTAGAAGTTCTTTATATATTGTCAATAAAGCTCCAAAGTTTTTAATTTTAATGAAATCCAATTTATTCATTTTGTTTTGCTTTGTTGTTGTGCTTTTAGTACACAAATTTTTACTTCTGCTATCTTTTCCATTTTAAATTTCTAGATTTAGAAACTCATTCCCTACCCCAAGACAATATAAATGTTGTTGTACATTTTCTTGTAGTGCTTTTATAGCTTCATCTGGTTTATATTTATTGGGAACTTCTATGGAAGGTATTGGATTGGATCAATTTATTTTATGCCATTGGTTCATCAGTTGTCCCAATACCATCTTTTGTATAGCATGCATTTTGTAAAGGAACTGAGATAATTCTATGCTCAGAGGAAGTAAATAAAGCTCTTTTGCTAAATGAGGATCAAAGCCACGATTTTGGCTTGGCTAACTCCAATGGCAGGTCTATGTAGCTGACTTCAGGTTCATGCAACTAGAAGGGATAGAAGGATCCTGAATGCCTGTTTATTTATTTGTTTTTCAATTGGTTTTTAACCTCATGGTATTTCTAGCTCACATGCCCATCTGAGCAGTGAGACTCCCACAGGATGGGATTAATTTTTTTTGAGGGAGAGAAATAACATTTTTTGGTAATCTTCTTAGGATAATGCTTCTATACAATCACAGATTGTCAGATAGTCAGGAATTCGTAGAGATGTGTTGAGCTTTTGAGTCTTTTTGACAGCCTGGGAGAGTACCAAGCCTTTCTGCATGTATCCGGAGAAGCAGTAGTAAGGGGGCAGTTCTGTTTACATTTCATGTAATACCCTCTTAATTCAGCCATCATACAGATTGTAAGGTTCAAGTTGCTGTGAATCCTTGTGACCAAATCATTAACAAGGGAAAAGAGATTTGTGACCACTCAGCTTCATTCCACCTCAAGGTGAAACAAAGAGTAGGTAGAATTGCTCAGATTTGTCTGGAAATCTAGTGACATGAATATATCAGCAGAGGATGCCTGTGATGGGGCTTGCCCCTCCAGCACAGTAGAGGGGACCATTGATGGTGAGGACTCCATGTCCTCACAAGTGGCCTCACTGCTGACATGTTAATGCACAGGGCAACTCCTGTCCTCCTTTCTACTGTGCTTTCTTCAACAGCAGTGATTGTGTGTTTTAAAATGCCAGTGCTCCTTGTTTTGTAAATAACCATTCATATCCAATCATAGATCTTTATAAAATGCATTTAACCCAAGGGTTCAGCCTCAGGTGGGAACATAACAAATCTCATTTCCTTCCACTAGGCTCTTTTTAAAAAATAAACTTTATTTTTTAGAGCACTTTTAGGTTCACAACAAAATTTAGCAGAATGTACAGAGAGTTCCCATATTACCCCTGTTCCCACACACCCACAGCCTTCCCCATTAACAACATCCCTTACCAGAAGGACATTTGTTATGATCCAGGAAGCTACATTCCCCCAAACTCTTTGGTGAAGGAAATGTCAGAGTTCATTGCCTCCAACATCCCAGGGCAGTTTCCTCTAAGGACTCTGGGCTTTGTTAACAGTCTCCCTCCATTAATGATTGTTATGCCCTGAGAAGAAAGAGGGTACATGAAAGGACTGCTCAAGGCTAATTAATGTCTTGAAATGGCACCATTTGCTTGTCAGGGAGCTGCTCTCTGGGGAAGTGTGTGTGTGTGTGTGTGTGTGTGTGTGTGTGTGTTTTATGAAATTTTATCACATGTGTAGATTCCTGTGACCACCTTCATAGTCAAGATAAAGGACAACTGTGTCACCACAAGGATCCTGCCTGTTTTCCTTTTATAATCACAGCCAGCTCCTTCCCTCTCCACCCTCCCTAACTCCTATCAGCCACTAATCTAGTCTCCATCTCTGTGATATTTCAGAAACTTTTATATTTTAAAATCCTGTGTAAGGAACTGTCAACCTGCATTTGTGTATGTTCCAAGAACAACTCCAAGTCTATACCAAGCTGGAAGTGGAAGCCCTTAAAAACTCTTAATTATGGTTTAATCCTATAGCATATTGTAAGGATGCTGTATATGTACCTAAGTTACATGAACAGATACATCGGGATTTGAAGAAAAGCAGATAAAGCACTAGGCACAGGAAGAAAGTAAATTGAAATATTAACTGTAAATCTCACTGGCTGACAGGATTATGAATAATATTTATGCTAGCCTTTCATCTTTTTTTAAACAAAGTTTTACATATGCATGTTTTTATAATCAGATAAAGAATAAATATTTCTTACAGGAAATAGTAAATACATGGGACACACATACTGTTGTCATTCAGAGTCAGGCTCACCTGGCATGGGCCCAGCTCAGCCACCTGTTGGCAAGTCCTTAAGCTTCTGCTCCCTCCTCTGTAAGATGGGGATGCTAGGTGACCTGCCCTGCTGGATTGCAAGGAAATTCAGTGAAGCACTGTGCATGAGGAGCCCAGATATAACAAATGTTCAATACACACTTGTTATCATTTTGAAAATAAAAAGTCCCACCTGGCAGCCTGGGTTTTGCAAGTGACCAGCACAAGGGAGCAGGTCCTGCTTCATTTGGATATAAACCCACAGGGGGGTTACTGGCTGGGTCCTGTGAAGAGGGTAATCAGAAGGGTCAGGGAGTCGGGAAGGGGCTGTCTCTCCTAACCCAGAGCTGGATGTTCATAGACTCACAGCAGACACTATGTGCTTTCGTCCTTTCTCCAGGTGGTGGCAAGTATGGCAGCAATGGCGACCCTGAAGCTGGTGGGTTTGAATCCCAAGATTTCTGTTGGAAACCACAAGGAGACATAGTGCTGGCCCACTCTCGTCACAGAGTTGGCCTTCCAGAGCTTCCCCTGAATGTTTCCACTAAAGAAATGTGAGGCTAGCAGCAGCAGGACAGTCATTTAAAGGAATTAAGCTAAAAAATATGGATTGCCGGGGAGGTGGCCCCATGGGAAGCTTGCTAGCCTGAGACCCAGAAACCTATCTGGAACTCAGTTAAATAGGGACTGTACCATTTCCATGTCCACATTTTAAGCTTCTCAAAGTGGAAATCCTTACAGAAAAAGAGAAGCATTTGGCAAATCCAAGGAGGGCAGTATGTCATTTGAACTCCTTTGATACAAGTGGCTAGGCCTCTCAAAACTAGCTCAGAGGTCCTGGGCATTGGAACAAATTTAAGTCAGTGTCTGAGCTGATCCTTATGGCACTGTTAGCTTGACCTCACGTCTTCTCATTTCTTCCACCCTTTCCTTTGCCCAGAAATGTCACTAGGGACTGGCACCATTGCTGGTGTGGCCAGTGCCCTGGCCATGGCTCTGATTGGTGCTGTCACCAGCTACATCTCCTACCAACAGAAGAAGTTCTGCTTCTTCATTCAGCGTAAGTGGATCCGCCTTGTGTACGTAAACAAATGGTTAAGGTCTTTTGAGGGAAAGAGGCAGAAACATGAGCAAGTTGAGATTCAGGTCTATTCCACAGCCTGCCTGAGAAGACTTCTTGGGGGAGGGGTGGGGAGAGGCACTTTTGGAAATCCCTGGGGGCAGATCTAGGCTAAACTAAAGTGTAAAGCAGCCTAGAAGAGAGGATGGGGCTGGATATATTGACCTTGATCTTTTCAAGGTTCCAGTTTCTGGAAGCCAAATTTCTGTGGGAGCAGAGCCATTGTGATGTTTCCTTGTCATAGAACAGGAGAGACACTGGGATTTCTGTATGACCTCAGATTTCACCCAGAGGAATTTGGGGCCTTCAGAGGCTCTGGGGTCAACAACTCCCTCTTGTGCTGCCATTTTTCTCTGGAGCAGAAGGCAGCAGTCTCTGGGGATCACCAAGACCCAGCAGGCAGCTGGGCAAGCCAGCACTCATTCTGGAACTGCCCTGGTGCCCCTGCTTCTCCCCATGTAAGCCAGAAAATATTAAAATATGTCAAATTGTGAATTCTTTTAAAGGAGTAGGAATGCAAGAGAGATATTATATGTAGTCCCCCCCCCCCCTT